TTCCTAGGTTAACTCTTTATAGGCCACACTGCTTACAGCCTGCTCTGGGCATACTCAACAAGGTGGTCTCCCCCAATTGTCAAAATGACCGTACTTTCCAAGACTGATTTAATATAATTCCAACTAAAATATTAACAACATTCCTCACAGAAGTAGGAAAAAAATCCTAAAATTTAAGTAGAACCAAAATCAATTCTGTATATAAAGTCAGAGCAGTAGACATCACAACCCCAGATTTTAAGTTATATTATAAAGGTACAGTGATAAAAACAGCATAGTACTGGCACAACAGACATGTATCAGTGGGACAGATTAGAGGATGAAGAAACAAGTCCAGGAATATTCAGCCATCTGATCTTTAATAAAAGGGCCAAAAAATACATGCTTTAGGAAAGATAGCTGTATTAGTTAGGGTTTTACTAGAGAAACAGATATAACACAAGGCTTACAAATGTGTAAGAATTATAAGATTATAGTGGTCAGCCACAGAGTCGGATGAGGAAGCATGCAGAGAGTGTCTAAACAATGGAGGCTGAAGGAGTCAATCCAAGGTCTGCAGTTCACTGCAGTGTCCTGTGCAAGTCCATACTGGAGGCTTATGGATCTATGATAGAAAGCTGAAGAGTCTAGATCACAGGCCTGAAGGATGCAAGGCTGGAGCCAAAGACTCTGTGCTGGAAGCCAGGAGATGACATTCAAACCAAAGGCAAAGACTAGAGCTCCTCCAAACCACAAAACCCCATTCACCCTTCCTCCTTCCCTTTTATTCCATCCAGGTAATGAGCCCCCCTGAGGCGGGTTTTCTGCACCGTAGGATGTAGAATTGCTAAGCTGATTTAGTTCAGCTTCTAAACTTGTCAAATTAACACAATCAACTACAATAGCTTCCTTAAAAAATGATGCTGGGAAATTTTGCTATCCACAAGCAGAAAATGGAATCTAGACACATATCTTTCACCCAGTACTAATCTAAAACTGAAAAGATCAAAGATATGAATGCTAAAACAGAATCACTTAATCTACTGAAAGATAAGGCTTTTTAGCTTTTACTTTTAAAGACAAAAGCACAGTCAAGGACTTTCTGAATGGAACCACAATTGCACAAGAAATAACATCAAGAATCATCAAATGGAAAGATGTTATTATTGGCAGCTAATTGAGATAAAATTAAGATACAATTAGAAAGGAATTGAGCCTCAAGGCAATCAGCACAAATAACTAAAGACACCTGAATCCTAGCTGGAGACAAATCTAAAGAGAATCAAGTCTTGGGTTGGAAAAGCAATAGCCAGGGCTACATGTCTTCCTAAAGATAAATGGCAAGTTGAGATTATCCTGTAATTAGTCCCACCTGGTCCAGTGTGCCCAGCGAGGCATCAGACTCATAGGTTTGCAGACCAGGATATCTGGATCCATGCTCCTCTTCCTTCCTAAAAATGCCTTTGTTCTTTCCATGTATGCTTGACTCACAACTTGTTCCCTTTTGGGTCAAAATTAGCTAACCAGCTATACTTACAGTCCTATAGGTTTATTTTAGTCTGACTTATGCTGTAATTTTGCTGTATAAATTACCCTTGGCAAAAGGCTTTGGCCACCCATCTGGACCCCCTCCTGGAAACCCAGGAGCTATTCTTCCTCCCCTTATTTTCAATAAAATTCTCCAAACTTCCTCCTTTGGTTTAAGACTTCATTTCTTAATGTTATGAGACCACAAACTCAGCCTATTTTACATCTAACAAGTCAGGAGTTATATTTTTCTTATATCACTATCAAATTTAAAAACTTCTGCACAGCAAAGGAAACAATTAACAGAGTGAAGAGACAACCTACGGAATGAAAAAAAAATTTCCAGCTATTCCTTGGACAGAGGACTACCATCTACAATACATAAAGGACTCAAAAAATTAGATTCCCAAAAACAATGGGCAATTGAAAGGAAGAGACATTTCTCTCAACAAGTACAAATGGCCAACGTATACATGAAAAAATATTCAACATCCCTGGATGTTAGATAAAGGCAAAGTAAAACAAAACTAATATTCCATCTTATTCCAAAAAGAATGGCTATCATCAAGAAATCAAGTCATAACTAATGCTGTCAAGGCTACAGGGAAACAATTTTATATTGCTGGCAGGAATGTAAATTAGTACAACCACTACATAAATCAGTATGGATTTGCATCAAAAATCTAAAAATAAAGATTACATTCAATCCAGAAATTCCCCTTGGATCTTCCTGAAAGAATTAAAGATGTCATATTATAGTCACACATGTGTGCCTATGTTTATAGCAGCACAACTCTTAATAGCTAAATCTTGGGATCAGCCTATATGTCCATTAACAGGTGAATGAGTAAAGAAAATGTGGTATTTATACACACTGGAGTACTACTCAATCATAAAGATAAATAAATTTGATTCATTTGTAGGAAAATATATCCTGTGACAATGTTAAGTGAAATAAGGCAGACACATAAATTTAAATATCACATGGTTTCTCTTGTATGAGAAACTCAAATTATAAATAAAGAACAAATTAGAGCTAGGTAGTGGAAAACAGATAGATGGATCTTTTGCAAAAGGGAACAGACCAAGGACAGAGGTAGAGGAGGAGAAAGGGATGAAAAAGAAATATGGTTTTGTACATATACGAACTCCCCACAGTGAATGCAATCACTACATACTGCAAACTTGTATTAATAAAAATATAAAATTAAATTTTTAAAAGTCCCTAAGAGAGATACTCTCTAAAATTGCTCTAATAACAAAAAGCTACCTCAACAACATACTTTTTTTCTACGAGAATGATTCTAATTTTTCTCATTTAATTTTGGTACTATTCAGTGATTATACACCACCTCAGATGAAAGTGTGATAAATTATAATTTATAGGATATTTTACCACCATAGATTGTTTACATGTGAATCACACAAGTGCCTTAGTTTTATCGTTTTATCATCATGCAATCGATTATGTAACTGTAGTATTTTTGGAGTTGCTAATGTTTCACTAAGATAATAAAGAAACACTGCATCAATGTTTTGTCTTTTGAAGTATTTTTTCTCCTTTAGATTGCTTTTAAGTGTTTATACAACAGCTTACATAGAAATGTAGGACTATGATTCTTAGGATAATGTTTTATGAATGAACCTTTATAAAACTACTGATTATATAATAAACTTCCTATCTTGTTTGATTTCTACATAGTGAAGACATGTATTTCATTGATAGTTAGCAAAGTCTGTTGACCTTGCAACGCACCGGTTTTGGTCTTCTGAAATAAATTTGAAGCAGGCATGGTGCTGGCATGCCTGTAATCCTAGCTCTAGGGCAGCTGAGCCAGGAGGATCACCACAAGTTCAAGGCCTGCCTGGGCTACATGAGTTCAAACCCAATCTGAACTAAATAGGGAAGTTTTGTCTCAAAAAAACTAAAAAGTAGTAAAATAAAGTAATTTGGAATTTTCTTCCATTTAGTTCCACTGCTGCATTCAGGGGTTTATATTAATTGCTCAAACAGAAATTTAGAAAAATTGTAATTAAGATTGTATTTTATACATTGTTTATTTAAAAGTTAATTTCTTGAGTCAATTTTCTTTATTTTCCCCCCTACAATTTGTGGTCAGTTTAGGGTAGTATTTCAGTGTTTGCTGTTTCCCAAAATCCCATGATATGAATAGAAAGTCATGTTGCAGATGAACAACTGCGCTGGGAGACATTTTGTAGAGAGGACAAAAATTTTACCTCTGTCCTAGGAGTGTCTGAAAATTACACTGACATAAGAAAGATCACCAGGAGAAAAGCATACAAATTTACTTAGTACAAGCTGTATGTTACACAAGACCCAAAGACACAGAAGCAAATATATATGCCACCTGAGAGTACTAACTTGTGAAACTAGGACACCACAGAGGCATGTGGATTAAGGTGGTTAATGCCATGAAGTGGTTAGGTGGTTTAACAGAGTTTCTTTGTACAGATTTCCTTTTTTAAAGAATGACGAGGAAGTTGAGCGTGATCTTGCCCTTGCAGTTTTTCATGTGCCTATAAGTCAGCGCACTATCAGCAGTCAGAATGCCACAGCAGCATGTCCTTTCTTTTTTTTTTTTTTTTTCCTTTTATCCGTACCAGGGATCAAACTCACGACCGCCTCTTACAAGGCAGATGCTTATAGCATGTCTTTTTTTTAACTCCTTCAGTTGAAACCCACGTTCCCCGTGTAAAGAACACAAACTGACTTGACCACAGTGATGAGGCTAACATGTTTACGAAATAAGAGTTTGCTTTTTTAAAAAAATGTCAGAGGGGCTGGAGGTTTAGCTCAGCGGCATAAGCACCTGCTTTGCAAGCAGGCAGTTGTGAGTTCGATCCCCGGTACCGATAAAAAGGAAAAAGACAAAAAAAAAAAAAAAAAAAGTCAGAGCCGGGGATTTAGCTCAGTGGTTTAAGTGCTATCCTGCTAAGCGCAAGGTCTTGAGTTCGAGCGCTGGTACAAAAAAAAAAAAAAAAAAAAAAAAAAAAGGGAAACCACAAATTTTTTTAAAAAAGTCAAACTAAACAAAAAGAAAAAATCAAGCGTGGGAATCTCCTAGAGTCTACGATTTCGTCCGAGACCTGCCTCAAAAAGAAAACGAAGGGCGCACGCCTGTAACCCCAGCTACTTGGAAGCTGAGACAAGAAAGTCGCCCGTCTCGGCAACTTGGAGATTCTGTCTCCACAAAAAAGAAAGAGATAAAAAACGTGAGTGACAAAAGGAAACACTAGATAAACAAATGAATATCAAGATATCAGTGACATACTATTGTTCTGGAGTTTATTTTTAAACTCATTTTGAAATGCAATTACTTTGGACCTCGCATCTTGACAAATAGTATGCGAGAGCCGGGTGAAAAGGAGTATGACCAGCAGGGGGCGCACAAGCTCGCCGCGTGCTGGGCCCCATAGCCATCCGTACTTTCTGCCACGCCCCGGAACTCATCACTCCCCTCGCCCGCCTCTATTTCCGCTTCCCGGAAGCGGCGAGCGGTAGTGTTTCCGGCAGCGCCGCGTGGAATCTTCCTCCTGGGTTCTTTCAGCATGGCGGTGTTTTCGGGTCCCGCCGCGCCAGTTCTGTCTCTTAACGTGCAGGAAGATGCCCAGTTTCAAAAGGAGGTGGCGCGGGTTCGGCATCGCGTGGCCCAGGTGAGGCCTGGAAGGTGGCGGGCCGGCGCGTGGCTCTGGGCAGATGTGCGCCTTGCTGTTTCCTCGGGCGCCACGGGGTCGTAGTATTGAGTCGGGCCGGCTTCGGGAGCTTGGGAAGACCATGGTTTCCAAGAGAAAGGTGTGGGCTGTCAGGTGAAGAAAAGGGAATCGTCTGGGGCAGGGAGAGTGGCACCCCAGGCCGCCAGTTAGAACCCTGTTAGAGCTGTCACGCTTCCGCTATAAGGAAAGACTTAAGACCTAGCATTGGGCAGTTTTTGTGTATCCCGTACTTGTCAAGCTCTTAAAAGACATCATGTGTTAAGTTCCATTTGCTTTTGCTTGGTGTTTATTATAAAATACACTGGAAAGCAAGTTATTACAAAGGGTGAGTGTGATAACTTTATGAAGGTTATTAACAAGCCTCTTCCAATTCACTCGATTGGATGTAAACTGTAATCTTCCTTAAGAGTTAAAGGACACGTGATGAGGAATTCTCCAGGCAGAAGATTTAGTGACATACTAAGGTTTGTTTGCTAACCATTGACGAATAAATGTACAGATCTTGAGCACATACGCGGTGCTGATGCTGTGATGGGAGGCTGAGATGATGATTAATTGATGATTGTCCTTGTGGGGAGATAGACACCAAACAGCTAATTGTAAAATTATGACCCAGGTGAGGCCTGGAAGGCCGGTATCAATATAGACAAACTGGTATGATCTTGGACCAAGACCTCGGGCTTTTGAAACTTCTGCAGTGTGATTTCTGTATATTAAAAATGTTCATTTGTCTGGTCTTTTATGTTAGCGAAAAAAACGAGAAGAACTTACACCCGGAGTAATCTTTGTGGGCCACTTACCTCCAGTACTTTTTGAATCTCAAATCAAAGCATATTTCTCCCAGTTTGGCCGTATTACAAGATTCAGACTGTCCAGAAGTAAAAGGGTAAGATTTTTGTAAGCCAAACTTAATCATTTTGTTTTTCGAATGTATATAATCAGTAATACATGACAGAATATGTTCACATACTACTATCAGGCTTTGTTTGGGAAAGGAGTGGGGTAAGGTTTAGAATCTGAAAGAGCATCAAGAGCAAAAGGAACTTATGCAGGCCCCCAAATTAAATTGACACTTCTAGTAAGTGAATCATATTTATCTTGTGGCTACCTAGTGCAGGAGCAAATGAACTTCATTTTGAGCTCCAGATCTGTACAGCATCTTGTATTAACCTCAGGGAAGGGGTACCTATAAGAGCACATGTTTGTGTAGGGATAGCTAAGGACTCTGCAGCAAGACTACCTAGATTGAGGCCTGACTGTATAGCTGCCAGTTCTGTGACTGTGGATAAGTTTATGTGACCTTTCCATCTTTCTGTTTCAAACTCTGTAAAGTGTGGGTAAAATTTACAGCACCAATTTTCTGGGAATGTTTAGTCAAGGATTCATGTAGGCAGTAAGCTTAAGGTTCTTAAAATATGCATGCCACATAGTAAGCATTGTATGAATGATAGTGTTTTTGTAGTACCTGCCTCCTCGTGAATAAAAAGGTTTGTGTGACTTATTTCAAGAATAGGGGAGTGGCCCACTGTATTTAATTCCCCTGTGCATTTTTTGGCTATAGCCATAGATACCTCATTGCTTGAATCTTGTTTTTCTAAATATCGCGTATGCCATTGTCATTGGCTGCTTGTGCTAAAACTGCAGATTTTAGCTGGGCAAGGTGATGCACAACCATAATCCTAGCATTCTAGAGGCTGAGGCAGGAGAAACACCCCAAGTTTGAGGCCAGCCTAAACTGTGTAAATTGAGATTCTGCTTCCTTCCCCCTCCCCAACAGATTTTTAAATGGTAGATTCTCTAACATCTATTGAAGGACATTTCAAATTTAAAGTGTTGAAATTTCTTCTGTTCTATAAAATAGTATGTTTTCTCCATATTTCCATCTCCCTTTCCCATTTACTTGCTGTAGAGATGGTTTCCATAGATGACGTCACTTCCCTTGTCCAGTTCAGTGTTTTATTGCTGTGTATATTTCTAACTCTTTAGTAAACATTTATATGTCTATATTTGTTTCAAAGCTGTATCATATGTGTAGCTTAACCTTTTTCATTCAGATAATCTGTTTTGAACTTCATGTAACTGGTGCATTGTCACTGTTGTGTTCCTTTGTTTAAAGTCGATCTGCCCTCCTACTAGACATACTAAGATTCTTTACAATTTTTTACTCTAGGCTGCCACAGACATTCTGTGTATAGTTGTACACAGATTTTTCTAGTGTAATGTGTTTCAGACCTTGGTCTGCAGTAAGGAATAAGTTTCATAGCATGAGCTAGCATACATACGTATGTATATAAATAAATAGTTATAGGGGCATTACTTGTGTAATGATTTTTGAATTTATATTCTATACAGTTTTTTTAAAACGTTTCTCTGACTTACTAAATGGATTTTACTACCCCGAAAGGTACTGAGTTTGAAAAATGCTGCTCTAAAGCGTATCCTCAGGGTCACTGAGTCTAGAATAAGCTGTGTTATTTCTGCCTGCATTACTCTTAGTGAAATTGAATATCATATGCAAAGTAGCTGTTAAAATCCTCTCCTATGAATCATCCTTTCAAATCTTTTGTTCTTTCTTATTGTCTTTGACAAAAATTTTTCTGCCTTTGGTAGGACCTTATTTTGTAAATGTTCTAAATCTCCTAATCAAGCACATTGTCCTCCATAAGAACAATATAATAGTATATAATATATGATCTTCACATTGCTTTGGTCTCAGAACTGTTTTTAGCTGGAGTTTTGTTGTTGTTGTTTTGGTTTGTTTTTGTTTTCATACACATTCTGGGATCTGTTTCTCACTATGTAGTGCAGGCTGACCTTGAACTCACTGTGTAAGCCGGCTGGCCTCCAACTCCCAGTGATCTTCCTGCCTTAGCCTCCTGAGTGTTGGGACCACAGGCATGTGCCACCATGTCCAACTCTGGAAACTGTTTAAAGGCATGTGTTGCAGTTAGTTATATAGCTCTTCAGCCCATTTGCAGCAGTCTCCCTGTCCTTTTCTGCCTAATTAATTTTTCTAACTCTGGAGACTTTAGACTAGCTGTCATATAGAAGCTCGTTCATTGAGAAGATGTACTGGGCTGGGGATTTAGCTCAGCGGCATAAGCACCGGCCTTGCAAGCAGGCGGTCGTGAGTTCGATCCCCGGTACCAATAAAAATGAAAAAGACCAAAAAAAAAAAAAAAGAGAGAGAAGATGTACTAACTTTTAACATTTCCCACATTGTTGCATAATGAAGCCTTTCCTGCGCCAATCTGAACTATTAGCTTGGTATGTCCAGCATTCCAGGGGTATAGGGTACTGGTTAGTTGGAAGGGTAGTTTTTGACATGGCCCGTTTTCAAAGCACTTTTCAAAAGATTTGTATTAGTTTATTAGTGTGGGCCATTGAATTGGCTGTCACACAGCATCTCTTCTATCCCTTTTGAGAGTTGGGATTATAAATATATTTTGTGGCATCTTAATTTTTACCAAAATCCTGTTTGAGGTAACTGCACTGAGACTCAGAGTTGCCTAATTGAGTTGGTCATTAGTGTAACAGTCAGTGTTAGAAATGGGCTGCTTGGCTCTGAAACCATGTGACTTTAAGGTGATTTCTCATCTCCAGAGTCAAATCACAATTTCTAGTCCTACCCCAAAATAATGATTTATGAACTCTTATATGGATTGCATCCCCATGAGGGTGATTGTCATTCCCATTTGATGGAGTAAAAACAGGCTTATGAATTATGTACTCACGTACCTAAGTACATGTCAGAACCAGGATTCCAATCTAGATGTTTGAGCTCTCAGAGGTGAGAGAATCTACTCCTTGTGTTGTACTGTTCTTTTGTCCCAGCTGCAAAAGTAGCCTGAGGTAACATGAAAACAAACGATCATAGCATCTGTTTACTTTTTTGGTTTGTTTTCTGTTGTGGTTGTTTGAAATAAGGTCTCACTTGTGTACTTCAGGCTGGCCTTGAGCTCATTATGTGTCCCAGGCTGAGCTTAAACTCCTGGCAGTCTGTCTACCTCAGCCTTCCAGGTGCTGGGATTAGAGTCATGTGCCACCATCCCCAGCTTCTTTTTACTTCTTACACATAAGATGAGGTTATACTAACTTGCACTTACCTGGTGCAGCATACTGTGTAGTGATCCTATGAGTATATGACCACTGGAACTGCCAGTGAAATCAGTAAAGGTTTTCTTTGATGGAATGTTGCTATCCAATAAATTCCAGTCCTGGTAATCACATACTTAACGTGTATATAACCAAAAATCCCACAAGGACCTGAAAACTGGTTGCACATTCAGATTTTGGGGGGCCTTTTTCTCTTTTTCCCATAAGGCTCTGGAACACATGAGTTGAAGTTGGATTTAAAAGTACCATAAAATTGCCAGGTGTGTGCCTGTAATCCTAGCACTCAGGAGGCTGAGGCAGAAGGATCACTGTGAGTTTGAGGCCAGCCTGGGCTACATAATCGAGTCTAAGGCCAACGTGCGCTGCATAGCAACCTGCGCAGTCTCCAAAAACTAAACAAGAGAATAAAATAAAATTAATTGCTAAAGGGGCTAATTTGCATTATTTACATTAATGACATTTTAGGAGTTTGGTGATTTGTTAGAATTTAGTTGTCAACTCTTTTGTGATGAATTTTCCACTGCAGACAGGAAATAGCAGAGGCTATGCCTTTGTGGAGTTCCAGTCTGAAGATGTTGCCAAGATAGTCGCTGAAACGATGAACAACTACCTCTTCGGTGAAAGACTCCTGGTTTGTAAGTGCCTTTATCTTACCAGTGGGGGGGCTGTGGGTGCCCCATCTGATGGTACCTAGGATGTTCTGGGCACCTCTGTTCAGGAAGTGGGCAAGAATGAAAGTGTGTTGCTCAGGAATTTTGGCTTGTCTCCACAGTCCAGGCTGACCTAGCCTAGGCTGACCTCATACTGCTTGAACTAGCAGTCCTCCTGCCTTGGCCTTTTGTGCCTGTGTGTGAGATAAGGTCACTGGTTCAGGCTGGTGTCCTTCTCCTACCTCAGCCTGCTGCATGCAGGCATGTGCCAACACACCAGGCCTCAGCGTTTTGAGTGCTAGTGTTGTAGGTCTGTGCTACCATGCCCAGCTCAATTTAATTGAAACTTTGAAATCTTCCAGTACCAGACCTGTATTTACACTGAAGTGCAGGCGGATTAGTTACTTTGGAGGTGCATGGGAAGAACCGATAACTTGTCCTTACTGGATTTTGGCGAGCTTTCCCCAGGGAGATTGTTTCCATAAAAATCCAAAGATGCGATACGAGTGAGGATTGAGATGGCTCTGGCTGTGGCTGAGGGGACAGCAGATGCCAAACCAGAGGTGACTGGGTATGAACAAGAAGCAGATCAGATGTTGAAGAACTCAGATGAGGACATTTAGAATTTATTTTGGAGGTGAGCTAGTCATGGTGGCAGATCCCAACATTTAGGAGGCTAAGGCAGGAGGGTCACTTCAGAGATCAAGGCCAGCCTGAACTACATTGGAAGACTGTGTCTCAAAACAAAACAAAAAGGTAGAATTTATCCTGAAGGCAGGGGAGAGCCTTTAATGGGTCAGATAGGGTAGCATCTAAGGTAAGGACTCAAATTTCAGAATCAGTCTGAACGGAGCTGGCTGCAGCTTTTCTGCACAGAAGTGCGGAGTGAGTTAGAAGAGCAAGATCAGATTAGAAATTAGCAAGTGGAGCCACTGAGTCTGAACTCTGAGAATGTGTCTGTGGTTCTTCATTGTTCTTAGAGGGTCCTTCGGGCCCAGGTCCAGGTTCACACTTAGAGGTTGGCCAGCACTCCATCTCTGCCCCACTTCCTATTGCTGTGGGAAAGACCTGGCATGGATTCGTGCTCATGGTAAAACCACCGTGGTAGCATGGCACAATGATACACTCCTGTAATCACAGTTACTCAGCAGGCTGAGGCAGGAGGATCAAAGTTCAGGACCATCGTGGGCAACACTTAGACCCTGTTTCAAAAAAAAAAAACTTTTGAAGGACAGAGGATGTAGCGAAGTGGTAGAATATTTAGTATGCCAAACTCCTGGGTTCAAGCCCTTTCTGAATGGAAAAAAAAGACGACTTTTGTCAGGAGAAAATGCTGAGCAAGGCGACTGAACAGTGTCCACTCACATAATCCAGATCTGTGATTGGCCCTGTCTGACTTGTGGAAAATAACTGAAGGTTTTGAACTGTAGAATTTGTTGCATCTCAATATGAACTAGTAGCTCCATTAGGATAGAATTGGCTCGTCTGTTGCTGTAATGTGAGATAAACCACATCATTTTGATGATGATGTGAGAAATGGCACCAGGAAAACCTAAAGTTAACATTAGAAATCCTTTCTTACCCTTTGTTTAAAACTCTTTTTTTTTCTGTTTAAAAATAGGTCGTTTTATGCCACCAGAAAAAGTCCATAAAGATCTTTTTAAAGGCTGGCAAGTTCCATTTCATCATCCAGTATACCCTGCAGTGAAACGCTATAATCAAAATCGGACACTTCTACAAAAGTTACGCATGGAAGAGCGATTTAAAAGGAAAGAAAAATTACTCAGGAAAAAGTTAATTGCAAAAGGAATTGATTATAATTTTCCTTCATTGGTAAATATTTCATCATGAAATTTTGGGGTGGTTTTTCTTAGCTTTGAGCTTTGTACTGCCCTAGTAAAACATGCATCTGTGTTTTCCTGATGGTTTGTAAAGTAGCCTGGTGCTTATTGGATACTTGGTTGAGGGTGGGACTTTGCAGTGCTGGAGACAAACCCCAAGCACTTGCATGAGAAGCACTCATGGTTTTGACTAAGTGCTTGAAACGTTGCTTTGGGAGTTCTTCCTAAAAACCTAAGAGAGAATACTATCATTTCCTTTATAAAGAAGAAACTAACTTCTATTATCTGTTTTTAAATTGCTGAATAAGCCACTGTTTAACCAAAAGGTATAATGCACTTAGATTACCACTTGCAGGTGACATTACCAGGATTAAATGATGTTTGGCTTACTGTGTGCTATAAGTAAATTTAAGGGTTATATATTAATCCTTTTTATGGTACTTTAGTTATTGTTTTTTACTATGATACATGAGTGTGAATCTTTCAGGATGTTAAAATAGGAAAAAGTCTTACTAAATCTTGTTTTTGGACTTTATAGAACCTATGCACTTATTTCTAAAAAACTAATTAATTAGTTGGTAAAAGATGAGCTCTTTAACCTAGTCCAGAAATTAGATGACTGAGTTAACCTCCTTTGGCCCACTTTCTGGTTCTTATCCTTTCCTAAATACAACCACAGTCTTTAACTGTACTGGGCCTCTCTACTTTGGGAACCAGGACTTCGAACCTTGAAAGTAGGCACACAAGTATATTTCCAGTACCCGGTTTGTTGCTTAATGGAGAAACAGGCTGACTGCCAAGATTTTGAACTTAGTCAGAACAGGCCTGCAGTCTTAGCCTTTATAAATTTTTATTTATTTGAGATTTTTCCCCAAGGTGGAGAACGGACTCCACATACTAATCAGAAATCTACAAATTGCCAGGTAAAATTCTATTTATATAGGTGCCAGATAAGAGGAAGGACTGAGGACTTTGCTCAGTGGTAAAACACTTGCTTGGTATGGACAAAGCCTGGGTTTCATCATCAGTACTGAAAAAGGGAAGAGGAACATAATCAAAAATGCTGTAGGTAATGAATATGGAATGTGGAAATTGTTAAAGTCTTAAATTTATTTTAAGGTTTTATCTGCTAAGAAAAAAGAATTTTCAGACAAAAAAGAGGTTTCCACCAAAAATGAAAAGGCTTCAGGCATACCTAAAAAGAAGAAGAAAAGAGTTGCAAAAGGCCCTCCTGTCACTCCAGATAAGACTGTGGACAGCCAGGTAACATTGTCTCAATATTCTGGGCACTAGGTGTTACAGGAATAAAGCAAAGAAAAGCACTTTGTGCCAGTGTCCTTTTGTTAAGACTTCAGGTTTTAACATTGTGACACTTTGGGTTGTCCTCAACAGGTAATTCAGCAATTTTCTACCTAAAACTTAAACATTGGAATGTATTCCGATTAATGAATTTTCATACTAAGTTCAGTAAATGTCCAGGCAGATTATTTATCTGGAATTGTGTTACCAGAAGACTGCAGTGAGCCTAAAATAACACGAGGCAATTTGTCAAAGTAGAAAGGAAGTGATACTTTGGTGTAAAGTCATTCCTAATACTGTACCACATTTGTGAATTATAATCTCTGCTCATTGATCATAGAGCGCCACACCGGTTTGTACACCAACGTTTTTGGAGAAACGAAAATCTGAAGTGGCTGGAGTGAATGATGATAAAGATGATGAAATAGTCTTCAGACAACCCGTGTCCAGTGTACAAGAGACTCCAACGCCCACTCAGCCAGGGAAAAAGAGACAAAGGCGAAGAAGGAGCAAACAGTAATTCTGAATGTACTGTGTGCAGTGTGTCTCACCAAAAGTGTGATTTGTTGTAACAAGGCTTCCTGAGGAATAATGTGCTGGCTGTTCCAGGTCAGGGAGGAAAGCAGTCAGTGATTTTTGGCTCTTCGGCCCTTGCTGAGATGTCGGGTGCATCGCAGCCTACAGTGGTTGGACTCACAGTGCCTTTGTCCTGGTCTCCTCCTGTTCCATTCGTATTCTTGTTAGCTCCCCTTGGTTTACCCTGCCTAAATGTCACTATTAACTGCAGGTTCAGATACTCAAGTGTCACAGCCTTTTGTCACCAGCAAATAAAGGTTGCCAATCCTGCTTGACCATCTGCATGGTTGTTGCACATACTTAACCCCAAAAGGTACTGTTGACCTCTGGTGGCTGAAGTCCTACAGGTGAATGAGAAGGCAGTGAAGTGTTAATGCAGGCTGAGAAACGTCGCCTTTTACCAGCGTCCCATTAGTATCTGGCAGGTTAGAGTGGATGTGCAGTTACGCTTTCCATCATTGTCATCATGTGGGACTGCATTCAAAGATGCCAACAATCAGTGAGTGCACTTTTCCTATGGTAATTTGCAGGAGGGATTTAGAAACTAGATTTCCTTCCTCCCTGTAGATTTCTCAGACCCTGAAATACAGTTTCATATTAGCTAATCCAGATTTGTCAAAAACCCATCACCATCATGTGTTTTCATCGGTATTTGTTAAATCTGTGATACAAGGTACGGGAGTAGGTATTCTGGTGCAAAATGTGAAAACTAATATAAATTAGTTTTGTAGTATAAAGAGCAGACACACCTAGAATAGAATCATTCTGGACATAGGATTTCAGTTTTTATTTGAATAAATGGAAAACAGCTCCTTCCCTTTTTATACTGCCACAATTTTAGGAAAAGCACCAACGTGACATAGATGAGACCTTTCGGTTCAGTAGGGAAAAGCTGCAATCTGGAGTAGAAGCCACTTGACCACTTTTTCTGAAGGGTTTTCAGTGAGCAGTCTAACCAGAGCTACACAAAAGTGCCTTCAGTGTTGGCCTGCAGTGGGTAGAACCTAGGAGCAGGCATGTGCTGGGCAAGCAGTCCACCACCACTGAGTTGTACCTCTGGCTTCAAAATGCATCTTCTTTTTTTTTTTTTTTTTTAATGAAAGAGGTCCATAAGAACAGTAATGCTGGGAATGATACATTACTTTTCCTGGTTTTTAAAAATTAATACAGATATATGTTAAACATGAGAGGACAAAAATGGGAATCAATTGACCAGTTTTAGCTAGAGCCAGAAATTTAAGATGGAGTAGGAAATTATGAGATAAACTATAGAAGTTTACTTAAATGTCTTAGCTGATTATGTCAGCACACATAATCCCAGCATTCTGGGAAGCTGGAGCAGAAAGATTATAAGATAGAGCCAAACCTGGGCAATTTAGCAAGACCCTACCTCAAAATAATAAAAGATACCTAGGGATATAGCCCAGTTTGAAGGTCCAGAGTTCAATTTCTAGTACCACACACACACAAAAAATGAGTGAATGAATTTGTAGAAATAGATGAGTTAACTTGACAGATTTAAGGTGGAGTTTTCTGTCACCACTATTGGTATAGAGTGGCCGAGTACAGCTTGACAGAATTGTAGTGAAGCGTGAAAAATTAGGATAGTATAAGCTCCCAAACCTCATTTTAATGATCAAAGACTGTTCTTTAGGACAGGAAGCTGACTTACGTGTGATTGGCTGTGCCACAAAATGCTGGTGTTCTGCTTCCTCTAGGCAGAAGTCATCACATGGCTGGCAGCCACCTAACTTTCCAGGTCATCCTGTAGGCCATGTGGTTATAAAGTGGGTCATGGGCCAAGTCCTTGTTTCTCCATGGAAAATGGTGGTCCACAGATTTCAGTGTCCATACATTGAGTTTACTGGCCTGCTGCCACACTCCTACTTCCACACTGTCTGTGGCTACCTTGTACTGTAGAAGCTCACTTGTGACAGACCAGACCATATGTGGTTTTTTTCTGCTTAGCACTCCTGCCAAGTACTCCACATGCTGCAGTGTTGGTGTCTTAAACAGTTGTGTGGTGGTATCATATACTGGTCAGCCGTCCTTTGCTGGAATGAAACACCCCACACCCACATCTTGATTTTTGCTCACACTCTGAAAAGTTTCTGTCAGCTGCCTCTGAAGCAGAAACAATGGTAGAAGGACATGGCAGAGCAGAGCTGTTCAGCCCACGGTGTCCAAGAGGCAGCACAGAGAGGAGCGGGCCACAAACTAGGAGCAGGCCATGTGGCCACCCAGACACACACAAAGTATGCTTCACTAATGTGCTCAATGCAGTCACAGTCATTAACTCACATCATGGAACTATGAGTGTAATGTGTTTCATTATCAAACTAGGTAAAGCATTATGTTTATTTCACAGTGACTCCACCTGTGCTAGAAAAATGGGCCACTCATCCCTAACTCCCAGCCCACAAGAAAGCAGCAGAGGAGTTAGCTGCCTAATGGGGCATAGCTCAGTACATTGTTTGTTTGGGGGTTGCTGTATTTTTGAATTGTGTTTTATTTTTTGTTGTGAGACAAGCTCTGGCTGCGTAATTTAGGCTGGCCTGCATCATCCTCCCTGAGTTGCTAGGGTTACAAGTGTATTACCTTCCCCCCCATCATAGGACCCAGTTACTTGAGTTTTAAGTAAAAGTAAGCTTAAGGTTGGCTGGTTAGCCAAGCAAGGAGAGCCTTTCACCGCAACCACTTGTGTTTGATTGTAACAGCCTGAAATAAAAACTTAAAAGCACGTTAGACTTAAAGGTACACAGTTAAGGTAAGGAAACTACATCAGTAGACAAATTGTAAACAAAGGCAAATGATTTTAAGTATTTTTCATTGGTTCTGAAGGGGTTAGCCAGTGTCACCCAATACTGTCAGCTGAAATCATTCAAAAGTCAAAATGCCAGCACAGTGATGAACTGACCAGCTCATCCCAGCTTGCCTGGAACTTTTCTGGTTTTAAAATTAGAAGTCAAACATTCGGGGCATTTCTGCAGTCTCAGATTGAGACAGTCTGTCACCCTAGAAATGAACGAAGATTTAACCTCTATCAGCAATCACTGTGGAGCAACTATGGTCAAAAGTATTTTCAGGGTTGGAAAGAAAGAACTACATTCTGAACTGGAATCTGCCAAGTGCTGCAGCTGGCCGTAAAGATAAGTGTTTAGCAGAAGGATTTCACTGGAAAGACTGCTTGTTAAAGTATAAGGGAGTTAACTGGACATGGTGCCAGATGCCTGTAATCCCAGCACTTGGGAGCCTGAGGCAGTACCGTTGCGGTGAGTTTGAGGCCAGCCTGCGCTACAAGTGAGCTCAAGGCCAACCTGAACTGCGTGATGAGACCCTGTCCCAAAAAAACTATATATATATATATAAACAATTTATATATAAATAGATATACACAACAATAACTATATATAATGTATATATGGGGTTTGGCGGTTGGATAGTTCACCAGTCACAAGGTTTTATTGAAACAGTTTAGGGCCCAGGTTTACCATTTCTGAATGAGAAGCATCCTCCTTGATTACTTTCTGAAAGCAGGATGGCTTCAGGAATCTGCTGCTGCTGCAGACTGAATGTTTCTAATAAATGTAGCTTAGAATACAAGTCTGCACCAGTCAGAGTTGAAACTCAGTCTTTATTTTTTTCCTCCCTGTATTAGGGATTGAGTCTAGAGCATTCACACAGCTATGCCCCCTGGTGTAGAGTGCGAGTATGCATATGTGTGTGTGTGTGTGTGTGTGACAGTCTTGCTAAATTGCCCAGCTGGGACTTAAATTTTTTATTCTCCTGCATCAGTTTCCAGTCCTGCGATGACGAAGCCCAGCTTGTAAAGTCACTTTTAATGACCAATATTTGAATTACAAGCAATGTCAGGCTGCTTTTATATATTTCTTGTGCTGTGAGAAGTTACAGTAAAGTGAAGCCAGGTGTCGTGCACACTTGTAATCCAGTGCTGAAGAGGCTGAGGAAGGAGAATCAAGTTCTCAGTTACATAGAATAAATAAAATGAGACCCTCAGAATTTTCGAGGCATGGTAGTGCGTGCCTGTAACCCTAATTTAGAGGATCACTGAGTTAGAGGGCAGCCTGGGCTACACAGCAAAACCAAGTCTCAAATATTTTAAAAACACACGAAAGAGCCACAAAATTTGCAGCAGATCTTGTCCATAGTATAGTTTCAGTAATTTTCAAGCTTTAGTAGCAAGTACAAAAAAATTTTCTATGTAACTCTGGAATTGCAAAATTTCTGCCTTTCAGATGAAGGTGACTTATGTAATGGTATGCCAGGAAATGACAAAAGAAAGCAGGAGAATTCTACAAATGCCTTCAGAGTAAAGAACACACTCAATTATGCTTGGAAATATCAGTAATGTGTGTGAAAATATTCTATGAGATAAAAATACCTAAAATCATTACAGACCAGCATGAACAAACACCGTGATTTTGATAATTGATCCACAAAAATGAAGGCGTGAATATTCATGCTCAGTGGTTAGCTGAAGAGTTCTTACGTGTGATGCCAAAAGCATGATCCATTTTTAAAGATCGATCAGTTTACTTACTGTTATTGCTAGCTAGATACGTAGCTTCCGTGTAAAACACACACTCTAGAGTGGGTTCCAAAAACAAAACAAGAAGACCGGGTTCCATCCTTCCACAAAAAATAAAACTTGCCAGAGGACAGATACTAAGATGAAAAATTGCAGACTGGGTGAAAATCTCTGCAAAGGAGTTTTCATCCAGAACAGACCCTTTGATCAACCCACGTTGTCATAGGGAGCCCAGCTGCCTTCTGACTAGCATGAAAAGTAACACGCTACTTTAAGCACTTGTGGTCCCTTTTAAGGACTTGGCGTAGAATGAGCTGTGTGCTAATAAGCAGCATTGAGTATGTTTGCCTGTGTCAGACGCTGTTGTAAGCACCTTGAATCTATCAACACGTATTGACAACAACTTTGAAGTAAATATTACTCTTCCCATCCAACAGGAGGACGAGGAAGCCCTGTGAATTTACCTAACTTAATATGATGAACCACTTAAATTTACAGTTTAAACGGGATCCACACGAACGCCAGATGGTTGGCGATAGAGAAGACAGAGCCTCGACTTAGAGGAGACCTTGCGTTCTCTGAATTGTGCTCAGGGTCGGAAAAGATCGGGCAAGATCGGCAAGATGGCACGATCTGGGCAGGATCAGCTGCGCCGCAGGCGTGGGAGGAGGCGGCCAGCGTCTCCGGAAGCGCTGGCCTTGGAGTGACTGCCCGCAGTGCCCCGCT